GTCTTCAATAGCTGGTTTGATCAGGAAACGTACTCGAAGCCGCTCTAAAAGATGCAGTCATCTTAGAGCAGTCATCTTACCCTGAGACGTCGTGTGTCGGTTCTGCTCCATCATCCACATCGTTCTCCAGGTCGACCATCATGACCGTCAGGCCATCCCAACCCACTTCCAGGAACATATTGTGAATGCGCTGAATGATTTCTCTCATGGCTGGTCTGGATGCATACTCCTCTTGGACGCATTCCCAAGCCAGTCGAAATGTGTTCATCACCATCTTCTTGATCGAGTCTCCAGCCACCTGATCCCACAAGCACCGATCGAGTATCCGGTACGGCATCTCCATGCTCCCGCTCTGGACGACTCCCCCTCGCAGAAAAGGCTTCACCCACTCGACGAGCGTCTGCCATCCCAGCCCGGAAGGAGCCGGCCCGACCACCTTCCTGCCCGTCAACACCTCCAGAACGAGTACCCCGTAAGAGTACACATCGTTCTTTTCGGACAGCTCTCCTCTCAGCATGTACTCGGGCGACATATACCCGAAAGTGCCGCCGATGTGAGAGGTCAGCACGACGTGGTCATGTCCGGTGCCCAATACTCTCTCGCCGATGGCTGCTAATCCGAAATCCGCTACGACGACGTGAAGCTTCTCGCCAGATCCCTCGCCGAGCAGAATGTTGCTACTCTTGATGTCCCGATGGATAATCGGCGGCCTGGCGGCGTCGTGAAGGTAGCCGAGCCCCTTGGCAACCTGGAAGGCGATGCTCATGCGCTCCAGAAGCGTCAGCGGAGGGGATAGATTCTCGACAATTTGGTCTGTCTCCGGCGCTTTTGCATCGCCCCCACTGACGGCCTTGGGGGACAACCGCCCGTGCAGGCTGCCTCCTCGGAAGAACGGGTACACCAAGATGCTTTGATCGCCCGCAACGCAGTACCCGACTAGTTGTACGAGGTTAGCATGATTAAGCCCGCTGAGGGTGTTCACCTCGGCCACAAACTGGCTCCGTTTGATGTCCGTTAGCTCGCCCGTCATCACCTTTATCGCGACCTCCTTGCCGTCGAGCGAGCCTCTGTAAACCTTCCCAAACGCTCCTCTCTCCCCGATTCTTCGACCCTCGCTGAATTTGTCCGTACATTCCGACAGGATTCTGAAAGGCAACTGCTTGACCCGGGACGGCTTAATTCCCCACGTGTCCAACGCTCCACCTTCCTGTACAGATGAACGCCGTTGTTCATCGAGTAGAACGGCACGCTCCAGACCTGCTCGTCGTCGGCGCCATAGGCAAATCAAGCTGCCAGTGATTGCCACGGCTACCACGCCCACCGCAATTGCTACCAGGGCCGCGATGACAGCCCCTCCAAGAGGGCTACCTCCAGAAGATACAGGAGCATTGCTTGGTTCTGCTACTGTGCTTGTTTCAGC